ATTCGAGGTTCTCATAGGGCCCCGGCCGTGATCTATAGCTGGTCTCCCCATAATCGCTCTAGCGTCGTTGCAGGTGGGAGACAGACACATAGGATAGTAGTGCACAGTACACTGTACATATTCACCTACTCTGCTCTGCTCTGCTCTGCTCTGCTCTACTCTACTACTCTCTGTCCCTGTGGCTTCGTTTCCCGAACCCGTTCGTTCGTTCCCCTGGCCCCTGGCGGGCACTTGTTTCAGGCGCTGGCTCACGCAGATCCATTCTTTGCACAGGGTCGCGGAGACGGCTCTCGTGATGAGCATGTGATGAGCATGGAGACACTCATGGCAGAAGGCATTGCCCATCGGCCACCGGGCCCATCATCATCTGCCGCCGCCCAAGCCCAACCCACGACGGGGGGCCTGCAGCGCCAGCCGTCCTTCTCCTCCTTCCCCCCCTCGCGTTCCGCCTCGTCCATTTCTCTCCTCTCTCTGCGCAACGAGAAGAAGCATGGTCGCTCGCCACAGCCCCCCATGCTTCGCGAAGACGACGACGAAGAAGACTCGATCCAATCTTCGCCCGAGTCCTCCTCGCATCAAGCGTCCAGTGTCGCCGCCCACCCCCGCTCACATATGAGACTCCGTTCTCAGTACCCCGCCGACTCGGTCGAGAACCATGTCGAGTACATCCTCGTCGCCTCCTTCGACATTGATCGCGGCTCCATCATGGAACACCAGTACCCCGCTGCCATTAGCGGCGACGAGACCATGTTGGCCGAGCTCATGTTGCCGGATCAAGCCCACGTTCGCAGCCAGGACTGGACCATCTTCTTCCTGCATAAAGACACCACCGCCGAAGAGGAAGAGAGGGAGGCGCGCAGAGAACGGAGGCGGAGACGCAGGCGGCGGAAAGAAGGGCTGGAGGACGAGGATGCTTCAGCAGGCGCCCAAGAGAACGACAACGACCATGACGAAGAAGTGGATGGCGACGACTTGGACAATGAATCAGAGACCGACGAAGAACAGGACCCTGACGGCCCGCCGCTAGTCTACGTGTTGAACCTGGTGAATACCAAGCAAGATAACACGGTCAAGAGGTGAGTCTTCTTTTTTCTTCACCAGAAAAAGCGTTCTGGTCTCATGGACTGACCGATCACAGAGGCGCAATAGTAAAAGCCATGGCCATCTGCACCCGGCACTCTTTCCTACACATATACAAGCCACTCTTGCTACTAGCTCTCGAGGAATACTTCAGAGCGCCAGTGATAGAGACGCTCGCCTCCCTCTACGATGCCCTCAACGCCATGGATCTCTCCTTGCTGCCAAAACTCTCGCCCCTCGAACACTTTGTTCTAGGCGCCAGTGACGCCAAAGACATGTTTATTGAGAAATTTGAGCTCATGATCCGGCAACGAAAGAAGCTGGATGCCGCCAGAGACTCGTCCGACACTTCATCCGATCCCCAGTCAAGACGCAAGAACTATTCCATGCCCCGAGATACCCATGAATTTGAATCAAAGATCAACTACAATGGGATCCCAGTTCCCGTTAAGATCCCGACTGCGTTCAGTGCCGAGACAGTGGGCGACTTCTCCCTCATCGAACTGATACGAACCTTTTCTACTCCGCATACCATACAGCCTCAACCATTTGCTCTTCACCCGCACCTCACCACAAGCGGCGCCTACACACATCCCATTATTGTTCTCGTCAATGCCCTCCTCACGCAGAAGCGTATTATATTTATTGGACACAACCGGCCTTCTAGCGAAGTTGCCGAAGCTGTGTTGGCAGCATGCGCTCTTGCCTCTGGAGGCGTCCTCCGTGGTTTCGTTCGCCATGCATTCCCTTATACCGATCTTACCAAGGTCGACGATCTGCTCAAAGTCCCTGGCTTCATTGCTGGTGTGACCAATCCAGCGTTCTCCTACAAGCCTGAGTGGTGGGACCTGTTATGCGACCTCCCCACAGGTCGTATGAAGATCAGCAACCGCATCGAGTCCGCATCACCGACAGAAGGCTCTCTCTTCTTCCAGCAACAAGGCCTTCCCCTGAATGGAGCAGGGGCTCAATCCAGCTCTGATAGCAAAGGGGGCGTTGACATGACAGGCGACAACGCCTTCATGGAAAGCCTCCTACAGAGCATTCGTGACCGCCATGGTGAGAATGCGATCCGAGCAAAATGGCGGTCATGGGTGCTCAAGTTTACGCGCATCGCTGCTGCTTTTGAGGAGACGGTCTATGGTGCATCAGCACTTTACATTGGAGCGCACGAGACCGATGTCGGCGCGTATGGCGTCTCAGGACATGGCTACGTGTGGCCCGATGAAGGCGCACGCCTGCGCGAATTGGCAGCCAACGTGCATCGCATCGAGGGCTGGCGAAACACCAGAAGCTACTACAGCTATGTGCAAGATCTAGCCAGGATATGGAATCGGCGACCGGTGCGCGGACTCGACATCCATCACCAACACGACAAGTTGCGCTGCCTCAAGCTATCGCACGACCAGTCAGCAGCCATCTACCTCGCCTTGGCGCGCTGCGTCGAAGATGCAGGCGGGCCCAGCGAGCGTGCAAACGGCTCGTCGACCGATCTGGCGTCCATGGGCCAAACGCTCACCATTTCAAACGACCCCGATCGCAAGCCTGGCCCGCAGCTGCAGTACGACACGGTGCTCCAGCTGTTGTGCGTGATGCCCGAGAGCAATTCCGGGCTGTTCTACATCAGCCTAGGGCTCTTCCACCCGCGACAAGATGTCCGGCTTGCGGTGGTGAAGCTGCTCGAGAGAATCATGGAGCATCCTGCGGGCCGCATCTTTTGGGCTGGCCTCGGCCGGTTTGCAAAGTTGGCCTACTTTCGGGTCAAGAGGGAGGAGGGGGCGCCCAAGTAAGGGAAAAAACAAGATGGAGTTTCTTTTCAAGAGGGGCCTGTTGTCCTGTTGATGTTTGATGTTGGTCAGATTCATGAACTTTTTTTGTTGGTTTGGGGTTTTTTTTAATATATTTCATTCTCCTTTTGAAGAGATCGAGAGCCGTGTTTGTGTCCATCAGACCAATGGTAGTTTTGTACGATATGTAGCCAGGTAGATCATCCTCGCATCCTCGCGCACTCTCTCGGGTGAAACCTGTCTGGCTACCGCAGGTACACTGACATGTGAAGATGAGTGCTTCAAACGTCCCATCATCTTACACCCAATGCATAATAGATAAAGTACCTCGCTTTCTCAGCAAGCCCCAAGCCCATGATTCAGATCCATCTTCAAACTGACACTTGCCGTGTAGGGCACGTCAGCATGCGAACAGGACTGGAGATGGATGCGGGTTGAAAGTGTAAAGGGGGCGGGAGGGAGGGTGGATCGAGATCTGGTTACCCGAGACAGTGGGCAAAAAGGACTGGGGGATTTCTGCAGCTGACTTGGGTTTTTGAGTTTGTGGTGCAGCGACTTATGGGACTTGTTCGTGGCTGACGGGGTCGGTGTGACTGCGACTGCTGGTCACTTTTGGCGATTTGCATGTGACGGTGCGAAATGACGATGCTTGGCGGCTATGAACGATGGCAATGGAATCTGTCACTTTGGCTTTCAGAAGCTGATGATGAGATGATGATGCTGGTGTGCCCACAGGCAAAAAACAAAACAAAACAAAACAAAACAAAACAGAACAGAACAAAAAAGGTGCGAGTCTTGATGGGATGGAGGTGTTTGGTTGCGACGAGATTGCAGTAGGCTACCAGCTTACCTATGCGCCTCGGAGGGTGTTGACTTGGGGACCTGTGTTCCCGATCCAGCCCCTTCTTTGGCGCCGGCTTTGTGTTTTGCGCCCAATAATGCTCATGCGGTCGGGTAGTTTGAGTATCATGTGATTTGCCACTGCTACATCCTGGCTATTTGGATGGCACAAGACAAGTAACGTGATCCTCAAACTAGCCGGCATAACTAGTACTAGGCTTGCATGACTATGACCCTCTCTCCCCCCACACCTCACCCATCCACCCACATCCACCCCATCCACCCCATCCCTGCCCCCATCGGCGGACAATCCCAGAGGCATCTAGAGTACCAGCGACATCTTTGAAGCCGTGGTCTGCCCGTGTCCATGCCATGTCTCGTCAGCAGCCTCGAGGATTTTATTCGGCGCCCACAAGAAAGATTCGGATCGCCTCCGCGCCGCGGCTTTCCGCCGTGTGTGCCCGCCAGGGTTGAGACGCGTGACTGCTTGTGATTGACTGTTGACGTATCTTCGCGACCCTGCTACCGTATATTCACACCGCGGGTTTTTTTTGGGGAAGCGTGCTGGGATGGTAGGGACTAGGTGTTTTGTTGCCTAGGTATCTGTTGATTATTTCACTTGTACTCTGTACTCTACTTTACAGGCATCCTGTCTCTACTCTACCTACTCCACTCTACTCCTCCACCTAAGCATACACCATATCGACACCACCGAACACATCATCAACGCTGGCCCACGAAACACTCCTTGTCCCTCGCTCTACCAACCCATTCATCCGAACCGCACAACACTTGTGCATGGCCTGCACTCACCCTCCATGTCTTTGAATCTCGGCCCAGCCAGCTCTCGCTTTCACAATGGAAGACAGGCTACCGACGAGGGCGGGAGGCTGATCCGAAGGAAGAAGAGCCAACCAATCCTTTCGCCTCTTGTCGGCCTCATTCGACATCCCTTGGGAACTCTGGCCAGCGCAATCAAACACTACAACGATCCCACTATTGCAGCAGCAGAAGCAGCAGCCGCACATAGGCAGGCCTTGTACTTGCGCCTCGAAAACGTGCGTCTGCCAGAGGGACCGTCTTCATTTTCACATGCTAACAGCCCCTGTAGGCCACAACGTTCGCCGATTGGAAGGCAGTCGCAACAGAGCTCGACCTGCTCGAAGGGAATGAGGCCTGGAAAGAGGCAGAAGAGTCCCATGAATATGACTATGCGCTCGTCGCCGCCCAGGTCAAGGGGCTGGAAGAAGCCCGTGTGAGCTGCGACGTCGAGCGGTTACTGTTTCTCGTTCGGACTTCGCTCACGCGTGGACTGGGCCACATGGGCCAATTGCGGCTGTACAAGCATTCGCACATTGGCACCAAAAGGCTGATTGAGAGATATATTGATTCCGTCCAACAGACCATTGCAGTCTTGATAGACGTTGCCAAACGGCAGGGAGCAGAGTGTCCCATCCATCCTGTCGAGCTCTTACGACAATTGAACGACACGCGCCAGGCCTTTGGACGCACCGCCTTATTGTTATCAGGAGGTGGCACTTTTGGCATGAACCACATTGGTGTCATCAAGGCCTTATGGGAGGCCCGCCTACTACCACGTATAGTTTCCGGTGCCTCGGCCGGAAGTATAGTGGGTGCCGTCTTGTGCGTCAAGACGGACGCGGAGATACCCCAGGTCCTAGAAGAGTTCTGTTACGGGAATTTGAACGTCTTTGGCGAATCCGAGAGCCTCGTTGGCCTGTTGACCCGTCTGCTAAAGGACCGGGCGCTCTTCAACATTGTATACCTCAAGGAAGTCATGAGAGAGCTCTTGGGCGAAATCACTTTTCAAGAAGCCTATAACCGTACCCGGCGGATCTTGAACATCCCCGTGTCTTCTTCATCCGTTCATGGGCTACCTCGGCTGTTGAACTTTTTGACGGCACCCAATGTTCTCATCTGGTCAGCCGTGTACGTCTGCCGATTCCGGTTTATTGTATTGTGATGGGGAACCAAACGCTAACAGAGTCCAGATGCACCTCATGCTCGGTTCCACTGGTATACACCGAGTCGACTCTTGAAGCCAAGGACCCACGAACCGGACAAAATGTACCTTGGGATATTCCCGAAACCACTTGGATTGACGGCTCTGTCGACAATGACCTACCCATGGTTCGCTTGGCCGAAATGTTCAACGTGAATCACTTCATCGTCTCCCAGGTCAACCCTCATGTCGTCCCATTTCTGGACAAGGAGGAACAAATGGTGGCGGATCAAGTCGACGGCCACTGGGCGATTGGATCGGCGTTTGCGGCAGATGCAGCTATTCTTGCAAAAGAAGAGATTGTATATCGCCTCCAGCAATCAGCCGAACGAGGCATCCTGCCGCACTGGACTACCAAGATCAGCTCCATCCTCAACCAACAGTACTCTGGCGACGTCAACATCTTTCCTAAGATTGCCTACGCTGATTTCCCCAGAGTGCTCAGCAACCCGACGCAGGAATACATGCTCGGCTGCATGGTCACCGGACAACGGGCTACATGGCCTAAGCTCTCCCGGATACAGAACCATGTCGCAATCGAGCAAGCCATCCAGAGAGCACATTTGGAAGCGACAGAGTGGGCCACTTTTGGAGATTCTCATCCTATCAGGAGACTACAGTCCGCAGGCGAGCTCTCCGGCCACAACCGGTCCAAGTCGCTTCATGAGATGTCGTTATGCGACCCCATCACTACCCCGTCCAGTCCCGTTCTCAGTAAAACCGCGCCTACCAGCCCGTCGATGTCTCGCAGACGTGCAGTCCAATTCTCATGTGGGCCAGATGAAGACGTCGATAGCCCAGCCCAGCCCCGGCGGACATCCTTTTCGCACCTGCTGCGCGACGACGACAGTGCAGCAAGCGCAGCCATCTCCGACCACGACTACTTTGCCTCGTCCTCGTCGGGCCCAGACGACGACTCCGAGCCTTCCTCACCTATCACCACCACCAACCGACTGTCCACAATCACATCCGCACCCTCACCCCTCGTATCCCCCAAGACCACAGACCAAACAGTCTCCACAGCCTCGACCCGCGAACGCCGCGCCTTCCTCCTCGCTAACCTCGCCATGACGCCCGCCACCGCTGAAACACCCGCCACAACGACATCGACAGCGATTCCCCCACCCGCACCCGCTTCCGCCATGCCCACACTGCCCAGTTCCCCAGAGCGCCGATACAAGAGCCGCTTCCATCCCCCGGGCCCCGTGGCTCCGGATCCAAACGAGGGAAGCGCGCCTTCTTCGTCGTCGGATCGCGATGCGAGGCCGGTGCCGCAGATTCGTTTGCCCAGGGTCAAGGGCGCGAGCAGGCTGGCGAGTCCGACGAGTCCGGACAAGGGGAGTAGTCGTGGGGGGGAAGAGATGGCGGGGTTGGGGTTGGGTTTCTTTTTGTAGAGGGAGGAAGTGTGCTGGATTGGGGGTTGGGGTTTTGCTGGTTATAGACTTGGAGATGTATTGGTATTGATATTGGCAAGTGTAGATTGTAGATTATCTCCCCCTCCCTATAGTCTTGGGTATTCATACATGATCCTCTTCATTCACTTCATATCCGCTCCATGACATGATCACATGAACACATTACTCCCCCTCAACCGCCAACACAAAAACCACTCCACCCCCCCTAAGCTCCCTCCCCC